TTCTAAAGTAAAGGTGGTAAGTTACAGCACAGGAGTGTGTAGGTAAAGGAAATATCATAAGTTAAAGTACAGCTATTGTTTTGGATAGTAAAGAAAATGTCAGAAAAAAATGCTCTAGGCTGCAGTTTCACCGAGTCAAATTACATTCATTGTTTGTTGAGAGGAGATGCTTTATCTCCTTGTTTTGTTATTAAGAGGCTATGCTCTGTATGGTCGGTAAGTGGTATTTTTCGACTGTTATGTTTCAGTGGAAATGAGAGTTTTGAAACATAAAGAGATCCCCTACACAATTTCTTGTAGTAACGACTTAGATAAAGCTGTATTGATAGGACCTAGGTGTGTAATAATACGTTTGAATGCTGGTACTCTATCAGTATACAGTGGAGTTGGCATTCCCTCAGTTTTCTGCAGACTGTGTGAAAGAAGAGAGAGTTTTATATAGAGCAAAAAGAATGACAATGATATATTACCTAAATTTTTGTTGTTTCTAGTCATTGTCTATAGTATTAAATATTTAATTAGGGTAGTGCCAGAGATGTGTTTAGGCTTCATGAAGTAAAGTAACCCTCCCACCCAGACCCCCACCTCCAACCCTAACTCCAGCCTCACATATACGTACACACAGTATATATTATTACCTTATTACTTTAATGAAAGAATTCTCTTGTCCATCTTGAACACCTATGCCTAAAAGATTTCTATCAGAAAGTTCAACAAAAATAAAATCTTTTGAGACTTGTATTAAGAACTGATACTCATTCTGTTTTCATTCTACATCACATTTCTTCTCCCCAGATTATTACCACTTATATTAAACAGAAATGTCTTTTCAAATAGAAACTCTGAATAAACATCTGATTTCTGACACCAAAATTCTCGTCCAACCCCTTATAGTCAACCACTTGCTAGGTTTCTACCAAATTTGGTATTTCGCTGAATGTTAAAACATCACAGATGTTTACGATACTTTTCAAAATCTGTCATCATTTCCCAAATTTTGGGGACTTTTAAAATAGGAAAATAGGTCATTTCTTCATTTTTGTCAAGTAATTTTGATTTTTACTGTCAATTTTGAACCAAATTTAGAGTGTTGTTCAATAAAATCTTGAGTGGGCTTGATATTTTCAAAATTCGTCAACATTTATCAGAGTTATTGAACTTTGATCATTTCTTTGTTTAACTTTTATTGTCAGATCTGTACCAGAATATGTTTATTGCTTTATATCAATATGGTCTCAAACAAATTTGATATTTGTGAAAATCTGATAATAGATGTAGCACATTTATTCACCTACATCTTCAGTGTATTGGGAAAATATCAAAGTTGAGTGTCCTAGTCGTCATGGTTGCCGTCATGAATGGCTTTGTCTTAGAGGACTTAATGTTCTCAAACATATCCTTTTTTGACATCATTTTCATATTTGTCCAGCATTACCTGAAGAAAATGAATTTCATTATTATTTTTTAAAAAAAAAATGTTTTTTTTCTCATTTAATCACAGTAATAGCAGAACAAAATGGGAGAAAGAAATCCATTGTAGAACTGCAGAACTCCCTAAGGCAGGTGGTAAACGATTACCATACAGTAGTAATTCTTCCTTTGAGAAATATCAAGCATTTTGTATAAAAATATGTTTCCTCATTAGTTGATAACTTAACATTATATGCAGTAGTTACTGATGAGCTCAGTGAATCGTTGCCTGGAGGGAAAATGCACATGTAAGATTTGAATGTTTTGCTCACATGTCACCTAGTGCCAGTGGGCTTGTTTTATGGTGAAGGATCTGTCGTTCATCATATATCCTTCCTTTTGTTGACTTTCATCTTCCTCTAGAAAACCAATAAGTAACAGGTAGCTGATATTTGGTGAAGAATTACATGATATGGAGTACAGTATTTTTTTCTTATATGAATTACCTTAACCTATTTTCATGGTAACAAAGGTCAAAATATGATGAAAATTTCAAGAATCTTCTTCTCAATTTCCAGAAAACCCAGAGACCTTATATTATGCACAGAAAATTGTTACAGTTTCCTTATATAATTTACCTTGTCCTATTCTCAAGGTCACAGATGTTATATATAAAGAAACATTCAGAATTGTTTTCTCTGGTTTCAGAAAACACAAATTACTTACATTTGGAAACTAGGTACTTTGAATGTAGTGCTACAGTATCCTCTTGTAATTGACTTTGACATGTTTTCAAGGTCATGGAAGTAAATAGTCAAAGAAAGTTTCAGACTTTTTGGAAAATTGCTTGCCAGAATAAGTACTTGAAATTGAAAACTGCAATGTTTCCTCAACTAAATGACATTATCCTATTTTTAAGGTCACATGGGCCAAATTGATTAAAGACCTTTCAGAACTATCATTTGAACTTTCAGAATACTCAGAGTTATGATATTTAGCCAGGTAGTACCTAGGACAGATTGTTTCAAGGTGTCTTCATACAAATAACCTTGACCTATTTTCAAGGTCAAAGGTGTTAAAAAATTTTTAAATTGTAATCTTCTGAAATTCCAAAATATTAAGGATACTGATATTTGGTCAATAGGTTCCTGGTAAAGAGTACTACCTGGTATACTACAAATTTTCTTTATTAAAATGACCCTGAATTATATTCAAGGTCATAGGAAAAAAATAGGTTAAATCTATGATCTTTTTGTGAAGTTCCAGTGGCATTTTTTTCTTTTGTATACTAAGGTAGTAAGTAATAAGTGATAATGATAAATTTCTTCCAGACATACATTATGTGGTAATAGTAATGTACTATCCCATGAAAGATAAATTGGCTACACTCTGCTCCACCTGATCATAGATAGATATGTGAGAGTCTTTAGGTTTAAAACTTGTCAAAGATTTGTGAAAGTCTATGAGCCCTTTGTCCCTGATTAGTGCCTGCCTGCTGTCGGATATCCTTATGGCTTCCTTGGCTTGTCATTTGAAAAAGTTGTTTTCCCTCTCTACTACTTTAGCATGGACCTAGTCAGTGATATGGTTTGCTGTATAACATGGTCTGATAATAGATCTGGGACTTGGATTGCTTACGTTTTGATTGTTGGTGAAATTCCTATCTGTTTGGCTTTCCAATTCTTTCTGATGTTTACTGAGTCAACCCCAAATATCTTTACAGTTTCTTTTGACATAAACTGTGTCACAGTCCTTTCACCTGGTTGTAGTATACACATACTGCAACACTCTCTACAGGTACAATGGTAAAGTAGAGCGTATCATGATGTTTAATGGCTGTTGGCAATGTTAAGGCTGTGGTGTAATCTCTGTATGGTGTCTGATAACTTTTAAGTAGATGATGAATACTTGTCACTTTAATTATTAATTCCTTTGATAGTATTTTTTTTTTCTTTTTCTTTCCTTTCCTCCTTTTTTTTGTCGCTGTTTAATTATTTAAGGATCTACATATCTTGTTATACTGTTGATTGGTTATATTTACCTGAGATTTCAATTTATCAGCATCTGCATGTCTCATTTTCCTCCACATTTTCATGTATCTGCCACAAAATCATCACCTGTTGTTTTATCGTTATTGAAATGTTGTTGAGTTATTGTATAATTTATGCTCTTCAGTATGGGTTATCGATTGTTGGAGATGTTATCTACCCTTAATGGTATTATTCAAATCTGTATCTGTAAATGTGCTGTTATTCATAGATTTCTATTCATGGCGTTTCAACCTTGTCATATTGTTGTCATTGATTTGGTTGAATGCTTTATTGATTTCAAGCTTTTGAATGATTTTTCTCTTGCTTGCTCTATCTGTGTTTTACTGATGATATTTCAACCATTTTTAGTCTTTGTAAGACATTTGATATTGTGACTTGACAGTGTTATTTGCAAGTACCCTTCATCTAAGTATGAACATTAGGTGATTTCTGTCTCTCTTAATTTGTTTTCTGCAGGTTGGTTATGTATAATGAAAAGATGCTTTTTATATCTCATTCGGTGGATAAATTTATGTGTGATGTTTCAATAAAATGTACCCTACACTTTCACCCCCAACAAACATTAATGACCTGTGTGAAGCACATCTACACCGGGGTATGTACAGTGAACATGATGGTAATAAATTCACAGAGTTTTGTTGTAGCATAATTTTACATACACTAAGTTAAAAAAGTAGTGAGAGACAACTCCACGAAAATTCCCCTTAAACCATAGTCATAGATGTGCGAATGCCTGTCTGCCCTACCTTAAACATGGCACACGGATCTATATCCTGGTTGTAAACAAAACATAGCCAAACTGACTTTCATGGTATAGCACAGTTTTTCCACCTAACAAATATGCAGAAGATCACCAAAGGTTATTCAGATATCCTCTACCATTAAAAATGGATGCTGAAGAAAAATTGAAATGGCGTCCCGAAAGGGGAAATCAAACAATATTTTGCTTCAAAACGCAACTCCTTCTTAATGCCATTATAGATTTCAACCAAATTTGGTCTGAAACATCATTGAGGGTCAGGATTCATTTATTGAATTCAGAAAGTTGATTTAACACCGAGGGACTTGGGGGCAGAGATCCAAATGGGGAAGTTAGTCAATATTTTGCTTTAAAATGCTTCTCACTCTTAATCCTTCAGTGGATTTCAACCAAATTTAGTCGCAAACATCATTTAGTGTCAGGAATCATTTCTTATATTCAGAAAGTCAACTTGACCCCAAGGGACCTGCAGGTGTGTGGGGACCCAAATGGGAAAGTTAGTCAATATTTGCTTCAAAAATGTTACTTTTTATTAATGCTACAATGGATTTTGTGTTATACAAACACTATGTGACATGTTTGGTGTGTGTTGTTTCCTTGGTCTTATCAACTGATCTGATAATTATGTTATACAGACACTGTGTGACATGTTTGGTGTGTGTTGTTTCCTTGGTCCCATCAACTGATTTGATAATTGTGTTATACAGGTACTAAGTGACAAGTTTGGTGTGTGTTGTTTCCTTGGTCCCATCAACTGATCTGATAATTGTCTTATACAGGTACTACGTGACAAGTTTGGTGTTCGTTGTTTCCTCGGTCTCACAGCCACAGCTACTCAATCAACTGCTGCTGATGTTGCTAAACACATAGGTATTGAGGATTGTGATGAGGCGGTGATCCGAGGTCCTCCTGTACCTAGGAACCTGTTCCTGTCTGTGTCACGGGATGAAGACAGAGACCAGGTACAACTGGATTTTCAGGAACATAATGTGAACATCAAGCTTCATCCTTACAATTAGATATAATAAACTCCATCCAAGTCTCTTTTTCATTTCACTATGGTCCCTATTTAGGGTGAACATTACCATCTTCCCCTTACTGAAAAGTAGATTGACAACAGCTTTACTGATCCTGTGTGAAAGTTTTCAGATCCAGTTTATAAATATACAGCAATGTTATCTCCTGAATTACACTAAGTGGATTTTTATGTTTCATGTTGTTTCCAGTCTCTGATAGGGATGCTACAGGGGAAGAGATTTAGCCAGTGTGAGTCCATTATTATATACTGTACAAGACGCGACCAGACAGAACGACTCGCTACCCTCATCAGGACATGTCTGCAAGAGGAGAAGTCTCAGGACTGGGAAGAAGGCCTTGGTAAAAAGAAAGGTAAATGTTATAGGTCAGAGTCACAGCCTTCAGTGGATTACTAGGCTCTCACCTTGAAGGGATTCCCTGTTGGTAATTTAGAAAGGTGACTTGGGACTCTGTGCCCCTTACCTGGATTCCTACTGGCTAATATCAGGAAAGTTGCTTGGACTCTGCTTAGTTGGAGTAAAAGTCAGGCTAAGTTTTGTTAGAAAAGTGAGTTGGACACACAGCTCACCAGGAATTTCTTAAACTAATGTTAAAAAGGTGACATGGACATATAGTCAAAACACGTCATCTCAAAATTCATGAGACCATGGAAGATATTTTGACTCAACTGAATTTCGACTCAAACAAAGTGTCTAAATAAGGTTTCCTGATGTTGATTACGGTTGAACAAAGTAGGGCTACGATAGTACGATATACTGTGGTACAAACAACATAATTTAATCTATTATTTGAAATAGCAGTAAATAAAGAGAGAGAAATATTTCCTTTTTCTCCTGTTGTTATTTATTCATCCAAATAACAAAACGTGTTATAAAAATACCCAACATGTAATAAAGACATCTGTACTCACTTCAATCAGTGTCCACTCCTCTTACTGACAAAGTTTATATAGTTCATACCTTTTATGGAATGACAATAAAATGAAACTAAAATTTGCTTTTAATAAGCTACAATAAACGATGAATGAAGGTACAGATCATATTAACATAACTTTACTATGAATGAATAAACATGAAAAAGGCAGCACTAGAAAGCTTTTACCTGTTACAGAAAACATTGTACAAGCACTAGACTTAACAAATCACACACAGATATAGACTCTATCAATGAAAAATTACTGTCAGTACTGCATTGTTTGTCCTACACTAAATCTAGCAGATTAGCCAATCTCAGTCCTTTAGTAAACAAACCATAATTAGCTAAGTGTTACACACAGATGCCTTTTTACTTTGTGTATGTATTGACTGATTTCTTCACATGCCGATGTTTTGACAAAAATTAAGGTGACTTAGGGCACATTGCTTCTCATCTGGAGAGGTATTTTATCTAACTAATATTAGAAATGGTAGTTGACAATCTGGTGTGAGAAAATCTTCTACAATGAGAATGACAAAAAATCCTTAGAAGCATATCACGGAAGGAAAAGAAAAAATCTTTAAATTTTCATAAAAATAATGTTTAATCATATCTGCAATACATTTGACATTTTACATGTACCATATAACCTATTGTTTGACAGTATTAAATCTGTTTTATTTTTATATAAGATGAATATTAAAATCGGCAGAGTTTTATTGAGAAACGGTCACATTATGGAGATACTTTAGATCCATCAAAAATGTGGCAATGGCTGTAATTAGATATAATGGATTTGACACCAAATGACAAAATTTGCACATAGCAAAATAAAGCAAGTATAGAGTATTTCTTTCTGCACTTAAAATTGTAATATCCTTACAAAACAAATTTCATGATTTCATTTAGGTGGAAGGAAGAAGTATGCTTTCTGGGATGCTGAAAGTTACCATGCAGGTCTTACTGCGGCTCAGCGTAAACGGGTCCAAAATGCTTTTATGTCTGGACGACTGAGGGTAGTTGTTGCAACTGTTGCATTTGGGATGGGTCTGGACAAATCAAACGTTCGTGGTATCATCCATTACAATCTTCCAAAGAGTTTTGAGAGCTATGTACAGGAGATTGGAAGAGCTGGAAGAGATGGCAGAGAGTCGCATTGTCACCTATTTTTAGATTCAGAGGTACGTGATGATACACTAATAAAAACAACATAGTTTCTGAGACTTCTTTTCATGCTCCCCGGAGGAAGAGCATAAAGTCATCGCTTTGACCGTCTGTCAATCCATCAGTCATAATTTTGTCCAGAGCATAACATAAAAAGTGTAAGAGGTATCAACATAAAACATTATAGATAGATAGATTTCATCAAGGAGAAGCGGAGTGCACAAGAACCATCATTCTCTTTTGCATAATTTAGGAGATATTGGCCTTTGTTATTTTTTATACTTAGATATTTTCTGGAGCATTACACTGAAACTGTCAGAGGTATCAACATGAAACTTCGAAAATAGATAGATCTTCATAATAAGAAGTGCAGAGTACAAGAACCATAACTCTCTATGCATAATTTGTTATTTTTCAAACTTAAATTTTGTCCACATTCTGGGAACAAAGCCTGTCTCTGACAGCCCTTTTTGAGCATAGTGTATTGTTCTTTTTCTGCTAGGTTAAAGCTCATGGATATCAATAAATAACATTTTCTGGTATTACGTTTGGCCTGTTGAGATAATGCATGTGACATAAGAGAACATGTTACCTACAGAACAGCACTGTTACTTCACATTCTAGACAAAGTAACTGCTGAAGTTTTCACTGGCTGTTGTGATCCATCACCTTAATTACAGAATGATGCGCAGTTGAGTTTCACTGATGCTGCAGTGGAAATTGGGTGTTCCATTGGGAACCGCACATAAAGGAATACAGAGAAAACAATAGTCCAGTGGTTTATTTATAATGGATGTGAAATACATATTGTCACACTATTGTGTTAGACGTCAGTGATGATTACAGCTGACTTTGTTTGTGAGATGTACTGTGTACATGATCCCTTTGGTGATCCTGTATATTCTAGATCTGTTTGGTTATCTGCTACAATTTTATTATTAATACAACTGATCAACCTGACTCCTGACATGTTCCTGTCACCATTTTATAAACCAATCATTTCATTAATTTGTTTGTGTTAACCATTTACATGACACAGCTATCATTCCCTCTTTTTTTGTGAAAGCTTATCAGGAATTCTGCTCCTTGTTAATAGCATTGCCTGAGGTGCCATGCTCACTCTGATAAAGGGTGTTTGAGTTGTCAAGCTCACTCTGATAAAGTGTGTTTGGGGTGGTTAATTGCAGAAAATCATGCTAACTGTCTTGAGATCTAGAAGGAAACAGTAAAGATTTTACATATTTCACTGTCATGGTCTTTTTTAATTATTCTTTACCCCTGACTGCTCATCAGGAATAGGTATGTGATTTCTATACTGCAGATCTATATTTTCTGGGTTAACTCCCTTTTAAACATGGTGACTTTAAGTTTTTTGTTGTTTCAGTGAAAGTAATATGAAACCTCTATATGTTTAGTGATGTTGAAGTACTATTTTATAAAATTGCATTAATATTGTTCTGGTTATCTCTGTGGAATCTGTTAACACTATGCATCACTTTAGATAATATCAAAAGGATTGATAACTGTGCAGTTAAGTGTGAACCGAGTGATTTGAAGGGGTATAACTGTTCGTTTGTCCCAGGACTTGTCTCTCAATTTTGTTTATTTATATTATGTGTCTGATGTATTAGGCTTAAAAATGAAACAGGATGCTATGATCTATGTATTTTGAATTGTTTTCTCCAGACTAAAGGTTGTGATGCATACAAAAACTGAAACATGGATGAGCGATACGTGGATGGAATGGGTGACAAGCTATGTTATCACCAGATAAATATCAATGGCTCTGTGTATCAATAATGTAGCGTATTTTTCGAGAATTGGTCGAGTTTTACATTTCCTCTATAGTTAAAAGCTAGTGTCAGCAGTTTTAAATGGATATTATTATTTCTGATGGGCTGACCTGTTCAGTGTTGTTAAGTTAGCACACTTTATTAACCATTCCTACATTACAAGTGGTTCATGGAATATTGATGTTCCTTGCTTTCATTTTACTGTGTTGGGTATGAACCCAAAATCACACCCAACACACCGACATAACAGATTTGTCAACTAGTTCATCCAGGACACTAGCCAAGAAAAAGTCAGCTTTTAGCAATGAGTAAATGGAAAAAAATTAGATTTTGAAAAAAGAAGAAAATTGTGTTTAAATAAATTTGTTGAGGTACTAGATTATTCAGCTTGTATTTAAACATAATTTGTGTTGTCGGATTAGGTCCGTTGTTTTCAGCATTGTTAGTGAGAAGAATTGATACTTTCAATAAAGTTACATGATATATACCACTTAGGCACTGTTTTCAGATTACTAGTGGATAGATCTGATAAAAACATTTGTAATAAATATCATTTTAGTTAAGTGTGGTCAATAATCACAATTTGATACTCCTGCCTGACCGATTTCTAGTGCTGTATAGTGTGGAACAGCTGTATGTAGTCATCCATGCTTAAGGGCTATATATTACTGTGTTATTTGTTTCTTATGTTCATGATGGTTTTAATTCTACTCTATCTATGAATGAATCTAAATCTGACAAATTTTATACCTGGTGAATGTGTTAGACTGTTGCAATGAAATTCTGGTTCTTAAGTCGCGTGATGTATACAGTGAGTCAAAATCGAAATATTTCTCATTTACGCTGAAAATCAATATAAAAGGGTTGATGGGACGGCAAGTAAAATGATACCATTCAAAAAAAGAAAAAGAAATTTGTTGCCATCATTTGCTCGTCTTGGTAACCGATTGGTATGTAAATTATATTTGTGTTTCCAGGAGCCGTGTTATCCTCAGAATGACAGTCCTAATCGTCTCTGTAGTTAATTTCTACAGACTAGAAATACTTGTATCAAAATACGTGACAGGTGTTAACATGTTTACTGTTTTGTGTCTTTTATACTAAATGAGTGACCAACAGGTGACCACCCATTGACCTCTGCTACTGAATAAACTTATTTACACAACAAAGCAGGAGCAGAGTGGTTCAATACATGCCCATTTAGTCAAGGATTTTTCTATTGTCATATTTATATGGTCATCAACAAAGTGTTTCTGTTTGTGGCACAGTATGTGACTCCACTTTTCACAGACCCATTCTGAGGTGAGGATAGGTGTCTATCTCCACTGTTCACTGACCCCTTCTCAGGTGAGAGGGAATCATCTAATGTTTCCGTGGTTATTTGTCCGCTGTTCACTGACCCCTTCTCAGGTGAAGGGAGTGGAGGAATCATCTTATGTTACCTTGGTTAATATGTCCACTGTTCACTGACCCCTTCTCAGGTGAGGGGAGAGGGAATCATCTAATGTTTCCTTGGTTAATATGTCCACTGTTCACTGACCCCTTCTCAGGTGAGAGGGAATCATCTAATGTTTCCTTGGTTAATATGTCCACTGTTCACTGACCCCTTCTCAGGTGAGAGGGAATCATCTAATGTTTCCTTGGTTAATATGTCCACTGTTCACTGACCCCTTCTCAGGTGAGAGGGAATCATCTAATGTTTCCTTGGTTAATATGTCCACTGTTCACTGACCCCTTCTCAGGTGAGAGGAGGAGGGAATCATCTAATGTTTCCTTGGTTAATATGTCCACTGTTCACTGACCCCTTCTCAGGTGAGAGGGAATCATCTAATGTTTCCTTGGTTAATATGTCCACTGTTCACTGACCCCTTCTCAGGTGAGAGGAGAGGGAATCATCTTATGTTTCCTTGGTTAATATGTCCACTGTTCACTGACCCCTTCTCAGGTGAGAGGGAATCATCTAATGTTTCCTTGGTTAATATGTCCACTGTTCACTGACCCCTTCTCAGGTGAGGGGAGAGGGAATCATCTAATGTTTCCTTGGTTAATATGTCCACTGTTCACTGACCCCTTCTCAGGTGAGAGGGAATCATCTAATGTTTCCTTGGTTAATATGTCCACTGTTCACTGACCCCTTCTCAGGTGAGAGGGAATCATCTAATGTTTCCTTGGTTAATATGTCCACTGTTCACTGACCCCTTCTCAGGTGAGAGGGAATCATCTAATGTTTCCTTGGTTAATATGTCCACTGTTCACTGACCCCTTGTCAGGTGAAGGGAGGGGGGGAATCATCTAATGTTTCCTTGGTTAATATGTCCACTGTTCACTGACCCCTTCTCAGGTGAGAGGAATATGTCCACTGTTCACTGACCCCTTCTCAGGTCTAATGTTTCCTTGGTTAATATGTCCACTGTTCACTGACCCCTTCTCAGGTGAGAGGAGGAGGGAATCATCTAATGTTTCCTTGGTTAATATGTCCACTGTTCACTGACCCCTTCTGAGTTGATGGAGAAGATATTTCAACAAATCCTCCTTTAGTTAATATCTACTATTTTAATGATCTCTGCCTGGTTGTGAGTTTGGGTTGAGGATTGTGTTATTTTAGTAATCTATACACTTTCCTTGTTTCTCTGTGTTGTTGTTAGCTGTAGGATTATGTGCTTGGGCAAGATACTTTACTCACATTGTTTTATAAGGCATATGGAGGGCCTCTCGTATATTGTTCACTGATATAGTCACCAGTCAGTATAATGACTAGGTCAATATGTGGAGGGTATAATATTTTAAGTTTTAAGATGATTGCTTGACTAATATTTCTTATATGTGATATTTTAATGTTGTTAGATAACCAAATTTTCTAATTTTGTTTTTGGATGGAGATAAAGAGTAGATGCATGTGATATATGACCCTTAAAAGGAATTAATTCTTGTTAAGAATAATTTGCATACGTGGCACGAAGTGTCTAAGTGGATAAATCTGTAAGCATCTTTCCATTTCTGTCTAAGTTCTTAATCCCTCTGTCATATTACTCCAGCAGGTTTAGAAATAATCTGATGTCATGGATTCTAATATTGATATCTTTATTCCTATAAACCGGACGGTAACAGACAGGAAGCAGTAGATTAGAGCAGTGTGGTACAAAGCATTGATACATAATCCAGTAAAACCTGTACAATCAGGGACAGGCATTATCTTATCAATCAATTTTGTGACTCTAAATAGA